ATGATAACACGATCTTATGATCTTTATAAACTTGTTTTTAATGACCTAACAGTAATCTTGAATACTTTCAGAATGTCCAAGGCTCCCTTCTTCCATATTAAACGGCCAAGTGGACGGTTCGGGTCATTTGCAGGGATCACACCACAGGTTTAGCTGTCGCGCCGGTTACTCTCTCGTAGGCCAGGCCACAATATACTGTACCGATGAAGGGAAATGGAATGCTAGTGTTCCCATATGTCTGAGAGGTAAACAAGCATATCTAACCCAAATTAGATTTGACAAATGCCGAGTGGTTGTAACACCTACTGCAGGAATCGTTGACCAAGTTTTGCGATGCATTCTCAGAGCTGTAGAACACTTGTTTACCTGGGTTACGAGGTAAAGTGTAATAACAACAGCTAACACTTACGCTATTTTTGGTTGAAGAGATGCAGGTAGATTTTAGAGGCCACCCCATTAGCCTAGCTAGCTTGCGTTAAAACCCTCCATGGACGCAATTTACCAGAGCTACGTTAAGAGACATTGAGTATTTTTTTTTTGTAGAGAACTAAACCTTCAGCTTTAAAGATAATTCGAGATCATATCTCATAAGATAGAAAAAACGCAATTGAGACAATCAAGGAGGAGCAATCAAGGGGGAGCAAGCACGAAGAAGGTTGAAGTGGACTGCAAATACCAGCTTCAAAATTTTATCAAATCATGGCCTAAGGAGCTCCCTCTAGGTTATGACTTTCAACATTATAATTTGGTTATATCAACTAAGTTGAAATTTACAATTGCAGTTGATATAACCAATTACCTTGTTACTCCCATCGACGCAGCACCACAGTTTCTTTAGAAACTTTTAGCCTTTATCCTACCTTCAACAGTGTCTTTTTTCTTTCTTCAGAATGTCCTCATCTTCCATTATCCATACCAAATGGATTGGTTTTTGGGAAAGGGTCGGTGGAAGGATCTCAGTACAAGTTCAGCTGTAAGGAAGGATACTTTCTTGTGGGGTCAAATTCACTTCAATGTACTGATCAGGGAAACTGGAATGGCTCTGTTCCCACATGTCTCAAAGGTATGGTAAATACGTTGCCTCTACAAGGACCCATGATAATTCCATTACTTTAAACTACGCCTATGAGGCACTTTTCATTAGCAACATGGTAATGTGAGTGCCGAGTGGAAACTTTTCAGATTTGTGCAGTACTTCAAATTCACACGTTTTGTGTCGCGCTGCCGCTACCTGAAACCATTTTCTGGTGCTTGGGAAATTCAAGGGAAACACATCTCTGTTTTTATTTAACGAAGCTCTCTATCTCAAAATTCGCTAAAAATACCATATATAGAGTTGTCTTAGGTTAGTTTTCAAGAAAATAATTTCTAATCTCACGTTTCATGTCCAAGTTAATTACGTTGCGTGTTACTATGAAGCAGACTAATTCTTGATTTTTCTGAATTTCTTTTTATTCCTATTGAATTAGATGTGACTTCTTAGCCAGATTTTTCACTGTTAGAAGTCTTATTTTCAGAATGTCCACAGTTACCATCAACAATACCCAATGGGTTTGTCAACGGCACAGGTTTCTTGGAGGGTTCCTTGCACAGATTTAGTTGTTTGCAGGGCTACTCTCTTATTGGAGAGAAAACGCTAGTTTGCTCTAAGGACGGAAACTGGAATTCCAGCCTTCCCAGTTGCCTCAAAGGTAGCTTTAATTGAGTGATTAAAAATAACCGTAAAATGATTACGTTTAAGTGTCTACAAGACTCTTTAGGATACTAAGCACGATAAAAGCCTTCAAATATCTGTTAACGGTTTTGTATAGCATTGCCCTTTGTTTTCCTGACCCTCGTTCAAGTCATTAAGCTGTTCTGAAATATTACAGAAACTATTTTGAACCGACATGCCCGACTAATTTATATTATGATAGTATCTGATCTTATTTTCCAAAAAAGGCAGGCTATAATATGAGGCGGGGAGGGGGAAGCTGGGAACTAGGGATTTGTTACGGTCTCGGGGTAAAAAAAGAGTTAAGGTAGGGAAGAGGGCAAGGTCGGGAAGATCTCGGAGTAGGATTGATAATTAATTGTACATAAATATTGGAATATGTTTAAGGTTGGTCCAACATCCCCCCAGTTTGAATCAATATACGAGTCACCGAGTGTCTTTTTTTTTCAGTTTATCCTGAGGCGTCAAATACTGCGACTGAGTTATTGTTGTTTTAATCGTCACAGATTGTCCTGACCTTCCGTCGTCCATACCAAATGGAAAAGGAAACGGAACTGGTTTCGTAGAGGGTTCCAAGCATCACTTTACTTGTCATGAGGGATATTCACTGGTTGGACAACGAGCGCTACACTGTAATAACACAGGTTCCTGGAATGGCTCTGTGCCTGTGTGTCTTATAGGTAGTGTATCCATAAATATTTACCTCTTAAGTAAAATGAAACTGCCTTCGCTGAACGAGAGGTCTGATATAGGGAATACCGAGGTTTCACAAGTTGCTATCACGCT